ACTTGGGTGTGAGCCCTTTCCAGCTGAATGCCCTGTCCGTGACTCTTCTGGGTCTTGCTGTCAGTTTTGTTTGCTCCAGAAATTCCTAGCCCTGCACAACTGTCTGTGCAGGGATTTAATTGAAACTCATCCCATTTCCATGAGAAGTTCAGGGTTTGATGAACTGGCACCTTCTGGTCAATAGAACAAAAGGAAAAAAATACTGAGGTCAGAAACAGTCCAGTTCAATTTATGGGGCTCTGGGTTGTCCCACTGCACATACCATTTTCATGACCCTCTACTTAGTATGAAATAGCTGTCCTGGAAAAATAAATGCCTTCCCTAGATGTGAGTTTCCATGTTTATCATATTTTATCTTCTCCAGATGCTCTTGCTGCATTTTGTAGTTAAAGACGCAACCTTCCAAACAAACAGAGATAGCATGAAGCTTCCTGGTTCTAAAGAAATCTGGTTAAATGTCATAATTATTTACCGAGATCTTCCCCCAACCCCCAGCCAGAAAAATATTTATTCTGTGGGTTGGGTGCAGTTATCCGACCCTACTTTTATCCTGCCCTACCCCCCCAAAAAATGATTTCTTTTCCTGGGTCTTTTAGGTAACCCCACAGGTTTGGGATTTGGCTGAATAACAAGCAAAGAAGCGTCTTCAAAGGATCAAACGGATTCGGAGCAATTTGGCTCACATCAAAGGCTTGGCAGCCTCTCAAGTGGTGTTGAGAATGCCAGTCAGTGTGTGTAAGGGTGGGGGGGTACACATGGGCTGACATACTGTAACATGAGGCAGGAGGCAAGGGTGGGTATGCTGCTTTTTGTGCATCAAGCTGAGTAGGATTAAGATATAATTGACAGAGCATCGCGACTTAAACGCCTTGCCCACTTCTAAGACGTTCCGCCGATTAACAGCGGGCAGCAGTTCCACATAGCTGACTGGAGTTTGCTTTCCTTTTTTTCCGTACTTACTCTACACCCTGTACACTGTAGCCTCACCTCATCCATTTTTGATTGTGCAAAAGAAGATTGTGTCTGTTTGGCAGAAAACATTGCGAGGTTTTCTTTCCTGAGCAATTGTATATTTAAAGAAACAACACTTTAAGTGATGATAATGGTGGTGATGGCATTATTGCATTGCTACGCAAAAAGAACCTGTTTGTCATTTGTAAGCGATGACCAAGAGTGAACAAGAAAAGTGATACATGCATGCATATATACATATATACATATACATAGGTATGTATTTTTGCATGCATGTATACATATATGATATGCATGCATATATAGGATATATAGTCATATATGTCATGCGTGTGTGTGTGTGTGTGTGCATGCATATGTGCCTGTATATGTACATGGATTTTTCTCATGCACGGTAGTCCCAAACTCCCATTTGTAAGACAGTGCATTGGATACTTGCTACTGCACATTAGAAGGTCTGTGCCAGTGGGTGGGTGTATGGGCTGGTGCGCAGAGGCAAACCTGGTCCTATATGTTTTTACTGAGGGAGAACTGGTTTTAAGAGCCTGAGGCAACTCCGTTTCACACTGCTTCCAGACGGCTTGGGTGTGAGCAGGCCTGAGCCCTTCTGAAAGCCTTCAGTGTTCTCAGTGACAGGGAGGGAGGGGGAAAAAGCTTGAGTGAGCTGCTGAAGTAACAACCCCACACACTGCTGCCTTGAAAGTTTTCTTTTCCCTCCTAAGTGACAGCTGCACATACCTCTGGGGAAACTCTGCTGAAGTAACTACAGACAGAGCAGAAAAATTTGTCAGGGACAAGGGGGGACGCCCTGCATGGCATCTCAGGCTTCCTCCCCGCGTGCTGTTTAAGAGACAGCAGCAAATGAGAGCACTGCACGTGCGGGCATAAAGTCGCTGATGCTAAAGAGGCCGGGCCATTTTCCAGTGTGGCAGGCACTGGGGTCAAGGAAGAGCTGGGGTTAAGTGTATGTTCTTCAATAAAAGCTCCACTAAACTGTATGAATACTACAGTGTTTGTGAGAAAGCTCAAAGACCAGATCTATTATTTCTAAGGATTTCTAGGTATGTAGGTATAAACACTACATTATTTTCTCCCATTCTGCAACTGAGATTATATTCAAGATTAAGCCCCTCTTTTAGTCTCTAGATTCTTTTCCTGCAGGCTTTAGGCAGTTTCCATCAGGTATTTAGTCTCTCCCCTTCTCTGAACATAAGGTCCTGTGGGGTTTTTTTGAACTCTGTGTAAGTTTTTTTTTGCTTATATTGGTGGGCTTGGTGCAAGGTTTCATAGTTTCATAGTTTCTAGGGTCGGAAGGGACCTGAGAAGATCATCTAGTCCGACCCCCTGCCATGGCAGGAAAGAGTACTGGGGTCAAACGACCCCAGTAAGGTGTTCATCTAGCCTCCTCTTAAAGACCCCCAGGGTGGGAGCCTGCACCACCTCACTTGGAAGTTGGTTCCAGAGCCTAGCTGCCCTGACTGTGAAGTAGCGCCTCCTGATGTCCAACTTACACCTTCCCTCTGCCAGCTTGTGACCGTTGTTCCTGGTCACTCCTTGCGGCGCTCGGGGGAACAGGGACTCCCCCAGCGCCTGCCGATTCCCCCCTAACCAGTTTATAACAGGCCACAAGATCCCCCCTCAGCCTTCTCTTTTGAAGGTTGAAC